ACAAGTTAGCCAGAATTAGAGGGAAGATAACGTGCTCAGTCCTCAGGACTACACTGATTGTGTACAATCCTCGTACACAACGTTACAGCTGGCAGCAAACAAAAGCTTGGACTGGGATGTGGGCCAGGATTAAGGGTGAAGGTTCTGGGACAGCAACAGATTCATTAATGATCAGACTTAGACCAAACATCTCAGGTTGGGTTGATTTGTGGAGTACACTGGATCTCTGGTTTTCTCTACAGCTGTTCCTTCCCCAAGCCCGACTGCAAGGACACCACATGCAACAAAGCAGCCAGATTCACCTTCACGGTGAGTGCCATTACCCCGTCCCATGTCACTCTGGTCACTTCTCCCGGTGCCCTAGCAAGATTCATCTCCAGAGGCACAAAGAATAGTGACCTCATTGGTGATAACCTCCCACAGAAAAACAAATGTTGCTTTTATCAGCAAGAACCTGGAGGTCCCGTGAGGCTGGATTCATATACAGGAAAATGGCAATTCTAGATGCAGAGTAGCACTGCACAGAGACTGTCTGGGTCCAGTCACATCAGACTGTACAACATGATGACTGAATCCCCAAGTAGGTGCTGTGGTTCCCTATAAGGGCAGGGTGCTGAGGCTTTGTGTGTTGCATCTTCTACAATGGAGCTCTGCCACCTTCAGCCTCAGAGCAGCACCGGAATGTTTTATTGGGAGGAGCTTGGTCAAATTTACAGAGCTTTACAGTTTCTATTGTATTTCCACTGCATAGATTCCAACCCATCATCATCTATTTCCTGCTCCTGGGCTTATTGAAGGTTCTCCTCTTCCTGTGCATAGTTTGTGCTGTGATCTGGATGAATATGCGCTACAGGAGGAGCCACAGGGAGATGGTGCCAGACAGACAAGGTGAGAGCATCTAACATTCCCACTATGGGGTGACACACTCCATGGGAATGTTCTCTGTCTTCTCTTGAACACCAAGGGCTCAATTATAGCTTTACTGTGAGCAGACTAAAGGGCAGTGAGTTGTTGCATTGCCCCTGGAGCACCCTGGGAGGCAGATCATTACTGCCCAAGTTACAATGTCCCTTCTGTTCTCCCCCTTGGTTCAGGGATGGAGCAAACCGCCAGCTCGATCACTGATGCGGAGAACTTCCAGTGGTGAATCGGCTCAGCTACACTGCCAGGTTCATTGTGGAGGTGGAGCCAATGATCCACCCATTCCCCAACCTTTACCTTCTTCCTGTCCTGTGCTCTGCTGCGTCTGCTTCCTCTCTTGCATGGATACCTAAGTTACACCCCCTTATGCCCGTCTGGTGTACTAGCAGGGCCGTGATTTGATGGAAACCTTTACATAGGACTGTGATGAGTCTGTGTGTGAATAGGGAGAAATCCTCGCTGCTCTATAGCCCTGATCAGGAATTCCTAGAACCAGACTCACCCCACGATGGCTATGAACAAAAAGCTCCCACCATGAAGTGTTTCTCCTCCAGTCACTGGTGGTTTCGTTGTTTTCCTTGCAGCTCTGGAACTGCCTCTTTGCTAGTTCTTAGCAACGGATTGGAACCAGCAGAAGGAGGATTCATTTTCCAGCTTTGTGCAAGTATCCCACACCATGGGCCTGATTTTCTTCTCATTTCAAGTGAAGCTATTTCTCACCCCCGTTCTCAGAGGATGAAGTCTGCTGGAAGTGTCTGACTTGATGTTTCCCAGGCTATGGTATCTAGGTTCTTAGCAGAGCGTTGGAAAGCCGAGGGCCAAATTCATGCCTGGTGTAAGCAAGTGTAACTCCACTGAAGTCCCAAAGCCAAACACAGTGTCAGAGCCAGCAGTGACAGAGGCTGCCCCTGCATCAGCTGTGCTCTACATCGTCACAGTGACCTCAGGTGAAATGCAGGAGCTGCTAGCAGGTGTTCTCCAGAAGAGATCCTGTAGCTGGAATTCCCTCTCTCCCTTGATCCAGAGTGTCCCAGACCTGTTGACACTGTAAAGGCCATTTCATTTTCCAGGCTTCCAGGGAGGTGGGGTGTAGAACTGGGATTTGTGCATCAAGGCTCGGGATCACGCTAATGGAATCACATTTTTTCCTACAGCAAAGACATTTATGAAAGAAAACAGACACAACTGCACAGGGAGACAGACTTCCACACAGCTTGAGTCCCAGCTTGCCGGGTTGCTTACCCAGCCCCACACCCTCTCTGGGACAATGTACAGTTCACACAGACACCTACTGGGAGAATGATGTAACTGCAAGCACACATATTATTGTATTCTATTCTTTTTAACCCTTTCCTAGATTTGGGGAGGCTGCTGTGTTTAGTTTTGTTTGTACTAGTTTGTTTGCTGTGACCGTCTCACTACTACTGCACGGGTTGCTGTTAACAGATTTCAAGTATTTTTTCATTGTGTCTGCATCTTTCTTCATTGCAGTCATTCTCTCAGCTTTTCGTTTCCTGGTCTGTGCACCTGACATCTTCCTTTTAGGTACTGGCCACATTGTTTCCTTTCAAATTTCCTGAAATATATATATATAAAATACGTTTCTCACACTATGTCACATCACATGATTTGGGCAAAAACAATTACAACTTCAATATGCTGCATAGAACAACAGATCTTTCTGGATATAACTTGTCTCTTATCTGCTCTAGCCAGCTGGTTTAATAAAATGCTATGAGAAAGGATCATTTATGGATAGGCTTTCCTTCTTGCTGGTCTGTATTGCAGAGTTAACAAACTGGATAAAGACTGATTTTACTCGTTTTGTTTTTGGATTTGTAATTTTGTTTTTAAAGGAGGTAAGTGATCTAAAGCAGAAGTGCACTGCTTCCAGCATTCTGCATCATCTACTACAGGGATTGCCACTCTCCATAGCTGTGGAATTGGAGTCTCGAGAGATTAGGGGACAAGGCGCATCTTTGGGGCACATGAAGGAAGCTGCTCAATCCTTTGCTCCCCTGAGTTCAGGGCCGGATCTTGTCTCTGCCCCTTGCAAAGGGAACTGTCATTATCAGTCCTCCTTGGCACAGCACTTCCTTTAAGAGCTACCTGGGGACTGGATTATTTTAGATTAAACATTTATCCTAAGAGATGATGCACAGAAGGAAGACACTATTTTTGAATGACATCAGATTGTGAAATGAAACACCGGGTAAAAAAACTGAGTGGGTCACTCACCCGTCAGTGGGGTTCTTTCCCCCCAATCTGAGCTGCTCTGCAGAACCACTGTAGGGATATTAAAGAAGGTACTAACAGTCATTCCCCCAAGCGACAGTGACCCCCCCATAATTTGTCCCCCACACTTTAAAATCGAACAGTTTCACCAAGTACAAAAATCTCTTGGGTCTTCTGTTAAAACTTTGGGCTGTAGCCCACGAAAGCTTATGCTCTAATAAATTTGTTAGTCTCTAAGGTGCCACAAGTACTCCTGTTCTTTTTGCGGATACAGACTAACCCGGCTGCTACACTGAAACTTGTTAAAACTTGTAAGCTACTGTCTATAGAACCCATTGATTGTATCTGTCCTGTGAAAGATACTTTATCACTATGTAAAACTTACAAACAAGTTAATTGACTTTGTTCTTGAAGTAATTGATACAATGTAAACAAATGCTATAAGCCGTTAAGTGACTTTCACTTCATTGTAACAGCAACGGCTCCTAGAAACAGACCCCCACCCTCTGTGATTTAAGGGTCGGGAGTCTCAAATGAATTAGCACACACCCTGAAAGTGGTGGAGACAGTAAATTAAAATATGGTTAAGATATGAAATGCATGTTGATGAATGCTTGATGTACATGAATGGTTAGGGAGATGCCAGTCTAGAAAGGGAGTATTCATCGGCCGAAGAATGTGTCAAGTAGGACCACCAGACAACCCCCAACTCCCCCGGAGGGTAAACTGGGATCCACCCCATCACCTGGAAGGATGAGAAACACAAACTTTGGACAGTGTGGAGCCACCAGGAATGTGCCACTTTGGACAGGAATGTGCCATCTGCTGACTGAGTCAGCAACAGCAGGATGAAACAGCTCCCATAGACTAAAATAGGAATTAATTCCTATAAGAATGGACTCTAAAGATTGAGGACTTTGAGTCTCTGGTTCTGCTGCCAACCTCCAGGAGCATCAGGTGCACCTGACACAGACTCGGCTGCATCCTCATGACCAAGATACCTGGCCAGTAACTTGGCATGAGAACTATAACATCTATACAGAACTTGAATGAATGACTGTGTGAATGAATATATATATGTGTGTGTGTGTGTGTGTGTGTGTGTGTGTGTGTGTGTGTGTGTGTGTAGT